TCAGCACGGCTGGGCACTCGCATCACGGCTCAGCGCCTGTCAAAGTGGATTGTGGGTCTCATCTGTCTACGTTACCTGATCGCCAAACAGCAATTGTCTGGCCCTATCAGGGCTCATTCGACCAGGGCTGTCGCGACTTCCACTGCCTTCCTCCATGGAGTGCCACTAACGGACATTTGCAAAGCCGCTACGTGGGCCACACCTAACACCTTCATCAGGCACTACGCCCTAGACGTCCGTAAGAACACCAATACCAGCATGGGACGTCACATTCTATCTTCGGCTACGCAATAAAGGACCTGCCAGCACCCTACTCCAGGTAGGCTACTGCTCGCTAATCTCCCATGGGTGTGAAGCACAGAGACCACGTCGAAGATAAACAGGTTGCCTACCTGTAACTGGTGATCTTCGAGTGGTCATCTGTGCATTCACACCACCTGCCCTCCTTCCCCGCTGCTGTCAGCTTCTACATTTTTAATAGGGGTTGATTTGTGGCGGTTTGAAGGAACTGGCGGGATGTCCGCACCCACCCCTCTGGGCATGCGTGGTGGGGTTCCTGCGCATGCCCGAGGGACTGGGCGTGAAAATTCGTTAAAAGAGCTTGCTACAGCACCGATCGATCCAGCGCGTGCGCACTAGATCCCATGGGTGTGAATGCACAGATGACCACTCGAAGATCACCAGTTACAGGTAAGCAACCTGTTTTTTCTTTGCCATATAGACTCTCTCACAAAACTTTCAGAGTCACACAGACTCTCTTCGTAGCTCTTCCACACTTCGCTTTCCAAAGACGCATGCACAGAACTCCCTGTCATAAAACACACGCACAGAATCCTGATACCACTCCTCCCACACTCTCAGTCATCAGCCAATCAAATCACACTCGTCACCCTCTATCACTCTTTACAGTTCTGCAGTCAAACTCAACGTTTAAAGACACCCCCCAAAAAAACATGGAATCATTACAGAATTATACAAATTGCCTTGATTTAAAATCTTGATTTACGTAACTTGTACAAGTCGCTTCAAGATGGGCGACTGTGTTTGTCTGAGGCAGTAAAAAAGTGTTTGGAGGAGGAAAGGACCTATATCTAGAGAAAAGGATGCTTGGACCTAACCCTGTGCTTTATTCTGCTTACACCTGGAGGCTTGCAAAGCTTCCCTGTTGAGTTTTTAATTGGTTTTTAAAATGTTTTATATTTGATACTGGCCTATGCCTGATTGTAAGCCGCCCTGAGCCCGCGCTGTGGGGAGGGCGGGGTATAAATTAAATCTATAAATAAATATAAATAAACATCCAACTAACCACATTCTAAGTTAACAATTAAAAGACAATACCTTTATCGAGTGTCAGAATCCCGGATCGATCTTCTACATTGATTAGGCCCACGCCTATTAATCCTTGTCGAACATCTAGAAGGGTCAGAGAAGTTATAAAGGGTGTCAAGTGCTTTGCACTCCTCTTACAGCTTACTCACACTCTTTAACAGCTGTTAACTTTTAAGTTTTACTAATGATCGGATGCGATTTTATACAAAATTCCAGCTTAGCATCTTTCAGGTTTTTTTTAATCCTGCCTTTACACTCAATGTGTACATGGAGTCCACAATCTCAAACCACAAACAATAAAACAAACCTCTCAATCCGAAATATGAAACGGGCTGGATCTTGCAGATTTGTTCCCACTCACTGCCACACTTCCAAGGGAATGCATTGCCATCAACTGAACAGATCGGATCGGTGGCATCCCGCCCAAGAGTTCTAAAATTCAGCAGCTCTATCGGGCAGCTCAATCTACTACCAAAAGGGCTGATGAAACAGAATTCCCAGTCAAGAATAAAGAAACCACACAGGCCACAGCTGAAGGGCGTTCAGTACGAAGCCCCAGCTCCTGGACCAAGTAATTGAGAACTAACTGTCCAGCCTGAATAGTAATATCTATGGAACCTACCCGCTGGTTCCCACAACGGTACCAAGCCAGAGTCAACCAAGTAACTTCTGTTCATTCTATGCTCCCCGTTACTTATCAAAAATTATTCCCAATTAAGTAATGCTAAGTGAATTTATATACCTTTAAGTTCAATCATTTTATTGCTCATAGACCAATAGGTCATAAGCAAATATACGAAATATAATACATGCAATGGAGTATAACATACATTATAATTTACAGTTCAGAGTTTCACAAAGTTGCAGAATAGTTTACTGAATGCACATTAATTACCTAAAATGGGCAAAATCAGTTCATTTAATTCCACCTAAAGTCACAGATAAAAACTTTGCCACTGCCAGCGTAACATTTGGGTCAATATCAGCTAAGCGATTAGCTACAAGTCATACCTTTAAAAAATTCTCCTGGGTAGTCAGGAGGTGGAGACACCAATGGAGAATCCAAGTTTACGATAGACTTCATGACTATTTCCAAGGCATTTCGACCATACTGTTTTAAAGAGGAAGGGGAGAAAGCGGTTAACAAATGAAAAACACAGTCATTTCAACAGAGCAGCATTGTTCTTTCCTTAGAGGGCCGAAATCCAGACCTCCTTCTACCGATATAAATTCAAGCAGAGATATCTTAACTAGTTAAAGCCCGAGAGCCCACATCCCAAAGGGGAGGGGACCAGCAAGCAAAGTGATGCAACTCTGCAAGGTGGGATGATGTAACAAACTCTTAATTTCTCCCGAAAGTAGCGGCAGATGGGACAAAAGGACAATAAGATGCTCACCTTGTTGTCAAAGTTGAACCTGCTGAGATCTCTTGTTTCTGTGGCTCGTCTGTCTCCGTGAGTGAGAGCGCCCTGTTAAGAAGCAGTAGTTTGATGACTAAGACGGGCAAGTTCCCAGTACTTTAAGAACACAAAGGTACACGGGGACAATCCTCTTACCAAGCTTTCCAGTCGCTTGGCCACGATAGATGCAAACCTTTGCTCTCCTGCTAGCTCGGAAATCAGGAAGACGTACTCTGGGGCAGTCACTTGGTTCGACCTGTGGGTTCGACCTGTGTTAAGCAAAAAATGTTATTTTGGTCATTCGAGCCACCGCTGCCAGTTCCTGAGAGTCCCGGAGGACAGACAACGTAGCTTCGAAGACAGGAAAGAATATATTTTTAAAAAATATGCGTCACACTTCTCCCGACATCACAAAATAAGCACTTAAAAACTTCATATTGGTTTTAAAAGTCAGCATTTGAGTTGCCCACCACTTCCTTCATGAAATTATTCCAAGTTTGTCCCTTCTGGCAACTCAGGCTGAGATGCAGGGACGTACTCAAGCTTGTCAGACCTGTTGCTGGAGACTGAGGAAGTGGGCACTCGTGGAATCACACAGCACGCTCCACCTGTCATCTCAGGCACAATTCCAGAACCGCACTGAACTGGAACTACAGCTCTATGGGGCAGCCTCACTGGGAATGCTGTGTACAGTTCTGGTCACCATATCTCAAAAAAAAGACTCTGCGGAGCTGGAAGGTGACCAAGATCATTAGGGGGGTGGAGCGCCTTCCCTATGAGTAAAGGCCGAAAATGATTGAGGGGACGGGGACGACGATGACACATGACAGGGTCTTTATAAAATTATGCAAGGAGTAAAGCAGACACAGAGAGAACAGAATCTCCCTCTCTCCCTCCCCCCGAGATGCTAGAACTCAAGGGCACCTGGTGAAGTTCATGGGCAACTGATTCAGGATGGACAAAAGAAAAGACTTCTTTCCTCAAGAGGTGAATAAAATGTGGGATTTGCTGCCAGAGAGGACAGCGATAGCCACGGGAACGGACAGCTTTAAAAGAGAATTTGACAGAACCCTGGAAGACAGGTCTATTGGTGGCTACTAGCCATGGTGACTAAAGGGAACCTCCACGTTTAGAGGCCGTAAACCTCTGAACATTCGTGTCAGGAGGAGGCATCATCCGGGGAAGGCCTGTCGTTGGGCATTGGACCAAGACAGGATTGATAGACTAGACGGACCATCAGGACTCTTCTTGTGTTCTCACCTGAGGACTTGCGACCACTTTGTTAAAGCTGTCTTCCACTGCTAATACAACAGACCGGCATATGCCCTCCCTAAACAGCACCGTCTTCCAAATTAAATGAGGACTGAACCGCTCACCAAATTGCTGTATGGCCCTATCCGCACTCCACGGCAACTCCAAGGTCATGTGCACTCTTCGCCTCTGGTTTTTGGCTCGGCGGTCTGCTTGTAATGAAATGCCCGAGCTGGCCGCCTCTGAGATGATGGCGATGTTCTTTTTAGACAAGGGAAGGAAGACAGACACAGGGAGCATTTAGCGACACCTATAAACTTGGGTCTCCGACATAAGTTGCCCTGCACAGCTCGTGAGGGAGCTTGTGGGTCAGCCGGAGGTGTGTTTATGCACGGTCCCTGATGCCTGCCAAGCGAGGAAGGAAAAGAACTGCACGCACAAGCTGCCTTTTCCTCCACGACTGAGGCATGAAGCTTCTGAAGAGATTTGGGTATCCCACAAACTCCTCTGGCAAACGCAAACATTCTGCATATGGCCCACACTGTTTATCAGAAGAATCAAAGCGGCTCTGGCGTGGGATGTACACAATAATAACCAGAATAAACCTTGCCAGAGGAAACACACTCCTGCTTGTCCTCCAGTATTTCTCAAAGCTGTAGATATTTGCATGTGAGGTTTCTAGACGAGAGCCATTTTCACACTACTACAACTTCTAGTTTTTGTGTATTTTTTTTTAATAAAAAGCACACCGAACCCTTTATGCCTTTCCCCCCAAAATGAATTATTTTTGTCTATTTTATGAGAACGTTTACTTAAAAGCGCTGGAAGTGGTTACCTTATCTCCATCCATGAACCTCTGCTTCTCTGTAATATTCAGGATCTCCACGGGAACGTCAAGCTCGGACCGTGACTCGTAAGAGATGCTGCCGTCATCGTTGCTCACGACTCTCCCTTTGCGACCTGTCATCTTCGGAAACACGGCATGGGTTAGTTTGCTGCGCAGTGCCCCGGGGCTCCCAGGAAATGGGAAACAAACACCGTGGGTTCCTAGCAGTATTCCCTCTAAGATGAGTTAGTGTGAGGTAGCTCAGAGTTTTCTAGCCTCCGGCTCACACAATTTTGTCTTAGGTCAGGAAGAACAGCTCCAGAGCAAACTAATTTATACGGTTGCCAAATCGCTCGCTCACAGTTTTAATGCCAGCAGCTCACAAAGTAGAATTTTTGCTCACAAGACTCCACAGCTTAGAGGGAACACTGGTTCCTGGGACTGCTCAGGAACAGATTCGGCCCTACAACCCTCAACGTCTGTAATAGAACAGCGGCGGGTAGATAAGTCTGTTCGCATGTCGACTGCTCATTGGGGCAACCTCACCGCCCGTCTCAGTGAGCAGGCAGGTTGGTCACTACTCACCAACGCTTATTTGCACCGCTGGCCCCCACTTACGTTCGGTGGCCTCGGGCTTCCTAAGGCAACCATGATCAAACCCTCTTTCTGAGGGATGGGTCCAGATGAAGCAGGCCGGTAGCCAAGGCATTTTTGTTCGGGGGCATTTAAATTTTTAAGGGGGGCAGTCAAATTAACCTGAATGCCTGTCCTTAAAGGGGGGGGGGGCTCTGAGCCCATTTCTAGCCCCTTCTTTCACGGGGCAGAGCAGCAAGCATGTCAGTCCCTGGGGGAAAAACAGCTCAGAGGGTATTTTGCCTTCAGAAGGCATTTAAATGCCTTTCGAATTCCCTTCCACAAGAAAGCTTAGAAGGGCACCTTGGACACATCTCCAACAATCCTCCTTTCTGCTAGCCCAGGACCACTTAGGTCATGGTCAAAAATAAGGTTTCTGGCATGGCTGTTTGTGGGGGGCGGGGCTTTCAACTAAGGGGGCAGGGCCCCAAAATGCCCCGCCGCAGCTACGGGCCTGAGATGAAGTCGTTTTATCTGGCACTCTGACAGCCCTTCTGAATTTTCAGCCATCGAGAAAAATTGGGGAGTGGTAACGGATACGCTGCATTTTCACATCCTGTTTGTCTTCAGGCGTGAAACCGTGGTTAGCGGTCCCTCAACAGAGAAGCCCTCTTCTAAGCAGTGATATCTGTGCAGCAGCCTAGGCCCGGGGGGGGGGGGGTTCCCCCAGACCTTTCTGAGCCTGAGGGTGTGTCAGGAACTTGATAATTTAGGCTTCGGGTTCTAATAACGGGACTGGACCGTCTTTGTTGGGATTCTGGCCTATTTAGAAGTGCTCCCTCTGATGATCAGTAAAACCTGTGAGCAGTTTCTGTTTCTTGAAGGTTCAGCCTTGGAAGGCTGTTTCACAGAGTCTCTCTATCCCTCCTCCCTCTCCCCGCCGACACTAATTAACTGGATGGTCCCGACTGGATACTGAGTTGCTGGGTAGTGCACTGACTGCTGGAAAAGACGATTTTTTTAATGGGCACAGGACGGCTACTTTTTACCCTTTCCCCACCTTGGTGGGGGGCCACACTATACCAGCTAGGCACTTAGAGGGCCCGTATCCTGTCATATGGGTAAGAGGAATGACCAAAGAATGCCACGCAGCAATGCTTGAAGGGCAGTAAGGTCTAAAGTGTTCAAGAAGGCAGACTTTATGTAGCGATAGTTTTATTTGCTTTGTGACTTTTTTGTCTGTGACGGAGTGATTAAGGCTTTGCGACACTCCTTAAGTTAATAAATTCGATTCATATTCCAAGCCGTGTCTGGAATCACTTATGCAAATGTAGGTGCACCCCGGAACGAGCCCTGAGAGCGGAGAGCCGAGGCCTTTCACAAAATAAAAAAGGGAGTGGTGGCCTGCCTGCCTGACTCCTGGAGTGGCTGCTTTTCAGCGCCCAGAGAAGGCGGCTTGGGGCACCTGAAACCTTACAGGGCACCGTTGGAATTCTGAAACAGTGGGGTGGGTGCAGCCACAAAACGGCCGCTGCCGGAGGTGGAGGCGGCCCCAATACGGCTGCCACGGCTTACCTTCAAACACACAGCGGGGATCCTTGTGTTGTGGTGGCAGCTGTTGCCAAAGCAACATTGTTAAATGTCTGCATGGCCAATCAGATCTCCGGCAGCCACTCAGAAGGCCTGGCTGGACTCCGCCAAATTTCTAAAAACACTCGAAGGGCAGCAGGAAAGGTGCTGGCAGGCATCATGGTGCCCACGAGCCTGCCTTGCAGGGAGGGCGGGGTATAAATGAATGAATGAATGAATGCATGCATGAATGAATGTTGGGGACCCCTGGCCTAGACACTCAGGAAGACGGATGAGCTATGAAGCAAAGTGTGCTGTCAGTCCTGCACCAGTGCCTGGAGAACACGGCACGCTTGACTGCAGTAGCAAAAAGGACGCACCCTCTGCTTGACCATCTCAGCACCTACCTCTGCCACGTTTTCGGGACCACCCAATTCATCTATGAGCTCGTCCAGTGTGTTCGGAGGAAGATCTTCTGAGAGTCTTTCCAGTTTGTCGAGCAATTCTTTTTTCATCTGCTGGGCTCTTTCGACGGCGTCCTGACTAGTGATGTAGCTGTTTGTGTTACTGTTGGCTGGGGACGACAAGAAAGTTAGCTTAAAAGCCCGAAGGCGTCCTTTCCCACTGATAAAAAGAGCAGTTCCACCTTCAAAATCCCGTGTAAGAGGTCCACACTCATCGTACCAGACGTATGAGTGGTTGTTGAGGTAACAGCCGTGGAAGAGAGAGAACTTGGTCGTTTGGATCCCAGGCCAGACGCTAGTAAGGCACTCTGTATGGAATCTGGGTCGATGCTTTTCTTCTTCTTCTTCTCCTTGGTTTTCTTGTGCTCTTTTCTAATCAACCAGGGGTCTGAAGACAAAAGAAAATATTGAAGCAGTAAGCTAAAATTTGGCTTCCTGGAAAATCCTGCACTGTTAGGCAGGTCATAACTTGCACAAAACTGCTTAAGAAAGCGGCACTGTGGCATGCAGTATCAACAGGCACGCTTAAAGCAAAAGAAATCCTAGAAATCCTAGGGAGCGGTGGCACAGAGGATTTAACCTCTGGTTAACATCTGAACTGAACAGAGCTGCTGTCTGTTCTAGCCCGCGCTGGTGTGAGCTACCAGCCTTGTCCCCAGCTCGCTGTCCACCCAGCGGTTCGAAAGCTCCGACGAATAGGTAAAATGGGTACCACTCCTTAGAGAGGGTGGGCACACTAAACCCCCGTGGGGGAGGTGTTAGCCGGCAAACGGAAGGTCCAGCTCGTAAGCTCGTAAGCCTGGGGGGGGGAAAGACCTCTTCGGCATTAAGAAGCCTGTGATGGGCCAATTCGGGCAGTGCGGCACTATGACTCAAAGTAGTCCTGGAAGAACTGACGTCATCAAGCCAAGCCGAAGTGAATGCCGACTGGAACACACCTGAAGCTTACAGCTGAACAAAATCCCCGTCAGCTGCAAAAGTGTGCGATTTAAAGAATTATATGTTGTTCTCCCTTACCCTACGATTCATTTTTAGTCCCGTGTGAAAACTTGTGTAACTGTAAATCGCTCAGAGCCAGCAGCTCTGCAGGATGAGCGATCAATAATTAGAAAGTTATTATCATTATTATTATTATTATTATAATCAGGGCCCCCATGTTGTCTCACCATCTTCGTCATCCTCACTAGATTCGTCCCTAAATGGATTGAAGTCGTCGTCATCCCCAGAGCTTAAGAACTTGGAGCTCTCGTTATCGCTCTCTTCGTTGTCCGAGATGTCCGACTCGCTGTAGCTTTCGTCGGAACTGCTCCCCGCCAATCCACCAGTTTTACGGGCTTTCTTGGCCTCTCTGGTTATTTCGTCACCTGTTTTCGGCAAAGAAAATGAACCAGTGATTTTACGGCATCTGTAGATTATCCCCACCCACAACCATGGACTATTAGCAATGATTTGGTAGCTCTTTTAAGCATTGGCGAATGGTGGGAGTTGGCGACCACTAGAGAATGTAACTGAGGAAATACTGTATTCCTTAGTCTGCAGACCAAAGCTATTGCATATGTGGATCGTAAGTGCACTGCGGAAAGGGAAAAGGGACAAAGGCCACAATCCTATCCCCGTTCGCCTGCACACACGTCCTGTTGAACTCAGTGGAATTTACATCCCAGCAGGCCTTCAAGACTGATCAATGCAGCTCGTTAGTCAATTCCTCTCGCTTTCCCAAAGCGTTTCTTTCCAAGCGCTTTAAAAGGAAATGGTCACATCAGGACAGCCCGACAATTCCAGAATGCCGCTCTCTTACCTTTGCGTTTCTTTACTTTGTCCTCCTTGCAAGGGCTGTCTCTAGGCGAGTTGTGGTTACTCTGAGCAGACAAGTCTATTCCCAGTAAACTAAAGAGCTTCTTTCTGTCAGGAGCTGGGAAATGCTTCTCGAGGAGGGACTGAAACACTCCCCTGCAGCGTTGAAAGAAAAAGAAGTGCTTGTTATTTTATGAAGGGCCGATAGAGAAACACCCACAAGGCCTCTTCCCCAAACATCCCTTTAAGAACTCCACAGGTCAAGTAACGGCTTCAGAAAGCGGATCGGAATCACTTCCAGATACTGGCACCCTTTGGTTTCTAACAGTGTGCCACAATGTGAATGAGAGCCTTGAAGTAGCTGTATCACCCTACAATGCAGAACTCCTAGCAGCAGTGAGCTGAAAATCTTGCTCACAAGGAAAGGGCAAAATTTAGGTTTCCTGCTTCAGATTTAACAGTAAACTGTGATGTGTTTACACATCACGTCTATGGCCAGGGTCCGGCATACCTGAGGGACTGCCTTTCCCCATATGTTTCCCCAAGGGCACTACGGTCGGGGGCCCAACATCTCTTGGTTACCCCAGGCCCCAGGGACGTCAAACTCGCTGTGACCAGGGCCAGGGCCTCCTCGGTGGTGGCTCCTGCCTGGTGGAAATGAGCTCCCGGAGGAGATCCGGGCCCTGCAAGACCTTGTGCAGTTCTGCAGGGCCTGCAAGACGGAGCTCTTCCGCCAGGCTTTCGAGTAGGAGCCGCCGCCGCCACTGTACCACCACTGCACCGCTACCGCAAAGTGCGGGGATCCCATCGGGGTGCATGATGGCCCTGGGCCGAAGATTGGAAGGCAGCGTCGTCCTGGAACTTGCTTCGTTGTTCTGGGTCCATCTTCCAGAACCCATCTTGGAACTATGAACTTTCAGAGCACCAGCACTTTATTGTAATTTTGTATTGTTTTATCCTGCTTTTAACTGTTTTATCATGGCTTTGTGCCCTTATTGTTAGTCTCCCTGAGCCCGTTGGGGAGGGTGGGATATAAATTTGAATAATAATAAATAATTGAATAAATAATAAAATGTGGAAACAACTTATTCATTCATCATGTGAAATGGGGGAAGGGGGCAGGGATCATGCAGGAGACCCACAGGTTCCTTTCAGGCTCGTTCACTCAGCAGCAAAACATGGTCATGTTTGAACTAGGCCATAACTACAAGTAACTACGAAGCATGGATTGTTGTATTAAGTTTGCCAGTACCTAACAGATGAGGGTCCTTGGAAGTTCAAATGTGAAAGATGTTTCAGAACCTGCATTGGCCTTCCCTTCCAGATCTCTAAGCCAAATTCAAACAACTGCTTTTGACCTGCGAAAGTCTAAATTGCTTAGTGTTGAAGAGCTCAGAAACCAACTCTGCTTCTTCTTTGGGACTTCTACAGAACCCAGGTAAGACCAGCAACATATATCACCATGTGCAATATAAGCAATATATTATTTCCTGTTTATGTTGGACAAGGGGAGGGGGGAGAGAAGGCCACAGAAAACCCTCTTCCCCTGGGAATGTGTCCCTAAAATGTCCCAGTCTTGGGTAATGCACGGGGGGGGGGGGGGGGCGGGGACCTAATTAGTAACTGTTTATAATGTATCATCTTAGTAGTTCCAGGATGGAGGAATGGATTAACCTACGGTATAATGACATTAAAGAGAAGAGAAGAAGAAGAAGAAATTGGATTTATATCCCGCCCTTCACTCGGAGTCCCAGAGGGGCTTACAAACTCCTTTCCCTTCCCCTCCCCACAACAGACACCCTGTGAGGCAGGCGGGGCTGAGAGCGCTCTGTCAGAAACTGCTCTTTTTCAAGAACAGCTCTTATCAGAGCTACGGCTTGCCCAAGGTCACCCAGCGGGTGCAAGTGGAGGACTGGGGAATCAAACCCAGCTCTCCCAGATTAGAATCTGCACACTTAACCACTACACCAAACTGGGTCTCTTGTAGCCACCCTACAGAATTGCAGCACTCCAGACAGACAAAGCAGTATAAATTCAGGAAATCTTCCTCCCTTTCTTTTTGCTGCAAGCAGAGGTGCAGGCAATATTTCCACTAATGGCTTTCCCACACTGCAAGGAGCATCCCCTCAGTGCTTGTCCAAGGACCTCGTGCAAGGGGAAACTCTAAGGGTAAACGGTTCATAGGATCCAATTCATTAGCTCCATCTGCTTCCTAGCATGCTCTTTGGCTATTGTTAGATCAGAAGTCACGTTAGCGGGACCTGTCTCTTTTTTTGTTTTTTTAACTGAACCATACATTGCTATCAGCAAGTGCTACCCCACAACTTGGGCAACGTCAGAGTGGTCTTACTTTGCTGTGGACACGAAGTCATTCAGTTCACCGCCACCTTCCTCCAAGGCTTCCAGTGTTCTTGCTTCCCCCGTGGACTGCAGCCCAATAACAACACACTGGAGAGAGAAATGGATACACGCTATTGGTGTGAATGTGGGTGAGCTCATGTAACTTTCCAAATCATTCGTTCAAAAGTTTCTCCCACACCTGAAGGTCATTTCCACCAGTGTTCCCTCTAAGCTGAGTTAGTGTGAGCTAGCTCACAGTTTTTTAGCCGCCGGCTCACACATTTTTTGTCTTAGCTCAGGAAGGATGGCTCCAGGGCACACTAATTTATGCAACAGCTTAATTTGCTCGCTCACAACTTTACCGCCAAGTCACTCACAAAGTAGAATTTGCTCACAAGACTCCAGAGCTCAGAGGGAGTATTTATTTCCACCCTCATGTGTTTTTCCCCAGAGGCGATTTGAAGAACGAGGTGCTTTTGAGTGGAGACTTACCTTGCCGTTCTTTATCTCTTCCCTTGCCAGCTGCACCACCCTTTTAACTTTTGATGCTATGCAGAGGTATTTGAAAAATCTCTGATGGGCTGACCAAAACTGGCCCCACATCGATTTCTTCATTCGTTGTTCAGCGTCGATGAGGTCGGCGGCTTGCTGGAATTTCTCTCTGGCACTAACCCACTGGGAGCAACAAACAGTTCTCTGTCAGCTTTCAGATCGTGACTAAATGAGATTAACTCACATGAAGCAACATTACTACCACTGCTAGGAGTGGACACGGTACTGGTCACTACTTCGTAGTAACTGATTTGCAACCTGCCCCAAAAGCACTCCAATTAAAAATTCCTCCAAGCTGTGTTCTAATTTACATTTTTGGTCATGCATACAGTAGCTTGAGTGAAATTTTTAAAGTTGTGAAATCTGATCATTTGATTTCATGTAAACCTTTGTGTATGCTGGTCATGGACTGTAAAGTAAAATTGGCCCTGGTCACACGGAAGGTTTTGGCCCGGGAGAGGGATGGATCGGGGGCGCAGCAAACGGGCACAATCTCACCGCAACATCTGGGAAGTGGCGCGCACCCGTCACCGATCCGGCCCTTCAGGCTGAAAACCCGCAGAAAAAAAAGAACCACCCGCAGAGGAGGACTTACTGGGAACGCCGCATCAAGCGCGGCCGTGGGATCGCCGGCGTGCCCACTGTCTGGAGCACTCCAGACTGCTGGCCGAACTGCGCATGTGCACACATGCGCAGTTCGGCTGCCGTGCTCCCCTTTCAGTGGCTTCCCCCCGGCATCAGATTGTGCCAGGGAGGAAATGCGCGGCGGCTCAGGGGATCTATGTGATCCCGCCAATGCATGTCTCTTTTGGTGCGGCTTTAAAAACCCGCACTTTGCCCGTCCCCCGTCCCCCCCCCCCCGTGTGGCAGGGGCCATTGTTGTCCATTTTTGGTCATGTTTTTGGTTTGCTTGGCTTATTCTCGTCTTATGCTGCTTATTCCCTATGTCCTTTAAGACTCTGCTGCTGTTATTAACTGATTTTTTACTGTAACTATAATGGTATTGTTATTTTCCTGGTTATTGGTGTACTGATTATTTTCATTGCTGGACACTGCCTTGAGAACACCCCATTAAAAGGCTAGGTATAAATATTTTAGATGGCATGAAAACAGCAAGAGTCCAGGAGCACCGTAAAGACGAACAAAATTTGTGGCAGGGTATGAGCTTTCGTGAGTCACTGCTCACTACCCCTGGCCACAAATTTCGTTAGTCTTTAAGGCGCTCCTGGACTTTTGCTCTTTTCTGCTGGTGCAGACGAACTAATAGGGCTACCCATCTTGATCTAAGAACACGAAAACGAGTTTTACAGGGAAAACAGCCATTTATCTGCATGACCAGCAAGCAAGAAAACTTTACGCATGCAAATTATACCTTAGGCACTACTGAGCTAAAATGCCCCAGCCCGCGCCTCGCCACGTGAAAAGCCACGCATTTACAAAACACTTACCAGTTTCACAGATTTGTTATACATTTTAACGTAGTGCGGGGAAAGCTGTACTTCATCGATCTTGAAGGTCACACCTGAAAAGCTCAGCTGTCTTGCTATGTACATTCCTCTCAGCTTCATATCCATAGCAACAATTTCCATGGCACCCACACCTCTGAAGATGGAAAGAGGATAAATAAAGGTAATTTTTTTTATTAACCATAAAGGATGTTCTAATACAAGCAGTTCTTGGCACATCAGGAACACTTCACGTAAGCCTGGAGGCCTTGCAGGTAATTTATGCATGGCTTTTGAAACAACGCAGCAATAAGGTCAAATTTAAAGCACCTCGCTTTTGAAATGCCGGAGAGGGGATCTTTTCAGAAGTCAGTGGCAGATTCAGAGAAGCGGGTGTATTCTGTGCCAGACAACGGGTCCACCTTGCCCAAGCCCAGCTGCTCCGAGGCCTCAGGCAGCCCTCCCAAGTTTGCTGCCCATCATCCCGTTTTCCAAAGTTGCCAAGGACTGAACCTGGCATCACCTGCATGTGAAGCACATGCTCTATGTACCCACCTTGCCTTATGCAACTAGAACTGACGGGCAGATTTAGAGATGTGAAGGCCAGGGAAAAACCCGGAAAAATTTGGGGGGAAACCGTTTTTTCCCTGAAGCCTTTTTTGTTTTTTTCCAAATGGAAAAATTGAAAAAAAGAAAATTGATTATGGAACATTTTATTTTAACATGATGAATAAAATATTTTAAGACAAGGTGTGCAAATATTTTCCAAATCATTTCTAAATACGTATATGTATGGTATCAGGTTGATCTAATTTCTGTGCACTGAGGACAAGCAAGTCCTAGGTTACAAACTGAACTCTCCAATGCAAGAACAAGATGCATTTCTTCCTTTAGGAGGTGCTATTGTCACAAGGAAAGAAAAAGGTTTCAGTTTTGTTTTTGCATGTGGGTGGGTATTCTGTTTGTAATAATTGTTTGGATACACTATATTTTTAATATGCAAGTTGTGATAATTTCATGCCAAGTAAAAATGTCCATAGTCATATTTTATGTTCCTAAAGTAACAGAATGACTTTCAATCTGGAAAAGAAAAAAGTGCTAATGTAGCATTTTTTTCCAATTTTCCCAAAAATTTCCGTTTTCTCCCAGAAAAAAAACCCAGGTTTTTTATCCAAGCTTCAAAATTTCCGAAATTTTACATCTTTAGGCGGATTCAAGAACTCACCTTCTTTCAACAGCCTGAATAAAGTCGCTGAACTCCCGAAATGGGGTTCCTTCACCCCATATCCCAAGGCGGTTCATGTACGCCATATTACGAGGCTCAGAAGCACCTGAAAAAGCGAACGTTCACAGTGAGCACAAGTACCAGCAAAAAAACAAAACAAAGGCTAAACAAGCTTGGCATAAGCATGTGGCACTGCGTACCTGTGGCGCTAGCGTAAACAACTCTGGCCTTTGGAAGTTTATTCTGCAGCTCCAGAACAGCCAGGCCGGTCTTCGTTGGTTTAGAAGAGCCAACGGGACACAGATTCTTAGCTTTGTGACATTCATCAAATACAATCTGGATATACGGTTAAGGAACAGACCCTCCCGTCTTTACATTGGTGTTTCTAGGTTGTTACATGGACTTGTTTATGTCTGGTAATTATCCTACCTGAATATAAGCAGTTCTGCTGCGTTTGGAAGCACTATATTGTCGAGGGGTGCCTGTCCAAGATTCTGACAAGCCTCGGCCTTGTCCACTTCGTGCGTCTATATACCACTATTCAGGGGTCATTTCATAGAAAGAGATGCATGAACTCATTAGCATAACACATTTGCATATGCCACACCCCCTGACATCACTGGAAGTGTGTCAGAACGCAATACCCACCGCTCAGGCTCCACTGGACTGTTTTGGATTGCTAGCTATGGGGTGGTGGGGAATGTGCAGATCTGTCCTCGCAGAGGAGGGAGAGCTTGTACCTGAATAAAACTTGGTCTTAAAGGTGCCACTGGACTGTTTTGGACCGAGGGGCTCTGCAACATATGTGGCTGCTTCTTGCTCTGACTGAGGGCAGCTAGGAGCAGGGGGTGGGGCTTGTTGCATGTGCCTGCCCCCTGGGCTCTTTACTGCCAGAGCTCCGCTCCTGTGTGCTCCTGCAGGAAATGACCCCTACCACTATTTCCACTTAAGGCTTCCAAGCAAAATGACATTATACAATTAACACAGCGGCAAAAGTCAAAGAAGGTCTTGTCTCATTTAAAATTAGCAAAGCTTGAACACTTCTCAGTGAGGTTTGGCAGCTATTTTAACAAAGCATACACTTTTCAAGGAGGGAAGTGTTCGTTATGGCACCAAGCTAGGCCAATGAAACCTGATCTGGATAGCCCAGGCGAACCCTATTTTGTCAGATCTTGGACCCTAAGCAGGGTCAGCCCTGGTAAATATTTGGATGGAAGACCACCAAAAAAAACCCAGAGTCATGCCGCAGAGGCAGGCAATGGCAAACCACCTCTGACTTGAAAGCCCTTTCAGGGTTGTCATAAGTTGATTACGATTTGACAGCAAAATAAATAAGACAAGGCCAATGAAAAGATACAACTCCATCGAAGTCATCGCCACACCAGTGAAGAAGCTGCTTAAGTCTAGTTTTATATTTGCCACCAGACTGACTTTCTCCAATAAGAGACGAGTACGTCGCAAATATGACACCTTTCTTTACACTTCCGTTATGTTTGGAAGAAATTTTTCCATATTTGAACTGAAACAAAAACAGGAGTAAATTAGTGCAAAAGACATCCTGGTTAATTGGCACAGGTTAACAGGCAGTGGACTCAAACTGTTCCTAAGCTTCTTGTAAACCAAAAGCCACATTCCCACTGAACTAAAAGGGAGTTGTACCAGGATACCTGCAGAGGAATATGCATGCCAATACGAAACAGCAGAGAACTGGCTTGAAAATGATAGCTACAGCGCCCTTTGGTTTCCACACTCCTGAAATAACACTCTCTCAAGGGAAGGAGTCTGACTAGCCCCCAGCCACCAGAGCCCTTAAGAAAATCCCCAAATAAATCACCTTTGCAATGAATTGTGTAAAGATTGCTGACCAATGCTTCCTCTAAGCTGTGAAGTCTTGTGAGCAAAAATTCTACTTTGTGAGCTACTAACATTAAAGTTGTGAGCGAGCGATTTGGCTGCTGCATAAATTAGTTTTCTCTGGAGCCATCCTTCCTGAAGCGAAGGCAAAAATGTCTGAGCCGAAGGCTAAAGAACTATGACCTAGCTCACACTAACTCAGCTTAGAAGGAACACTGTTGATGACATAACCATTGCCAAAGTTGGCAAAGGGCTATATCCAACCATTTGGAGAGAAATTTTTTTTGCCAGTGCAATTTCCACTGCAGTTTACCCCAATCCTAGTCACGTCACATGGACATTCCACCAGAATTGACGACACTGGCTCATTTGTAGTACATTCCATGTTTGGTGGCCACACAGTCGTTACAGGATCAACATTAAACTACTTTTGCAACATTAGCAAATGGATCTGGCAAATGTGAATACAACAGTGGCCATTAATCCAAGTAGCAAAATGCCAAAGTCTACAGAACGTCAGAAAACAGACCTCAATGGTTTGTGCCCTTGTTGAGAACTGCACATTTCTTTTTTAAAATAATTTTATTAGTATTTCAACAGAATATACAAGAATGAAGTGATAGCAGGGCAGTTTACAAACAGGGTAATTTGACATAATGCATTGTTAGATCCTACAATCTGTCATTAGATTCCTTGTGGCTTCCAAGTTTGTGTGTGGTATCTCTCAAGTATTTGTTGAACCCATTTGACTGGTATGTGGTGGTGGCGGTAGTTATGTGTTTCTTATATATGGATTAGTTTAAGGTAGATCGGATTAAGTGGCTGAATGTCAGATGCTGTGACATATTCAATAAATGGTTCCCATTTCGCATATGAGTAGTATTGTTGTGTTGTGTCGTCTGAGTGTTTTATATTTTCTGTGATCTTTTCCATTATAAAGATATCCCAGATTTTTGTTAGCCAGTTTTCCATCGTGGGAGCTTGTTTTGCTTTCCATTTTGCTGCAATACCACATCCTTGCCGCTACTAACCCTTATCTTGTTGAGAACTGCACATTTCAATGAGAGTGTTCAGGAGTAGACCACCACCCATGACTCCCAATGAACTCCAAGAAGGTCAGACTAATTCTTCTAGGCTCTGAGGTGCACGGCATTCACTGAACGCACATCTTACAGGTCTGTCTACTGTATTTGCCTTGACGATAACATAGTAAAAAAAACACCCCACCATACCTTGTTTAGTGAATGAACCAAAATATTTTTTGCTCCGATATCTCGCAAATCTCTTTCTGCATCGTATTTCAGGTCGTTTGAAACGCTAAACCTAGAAGGTGACAACACGACTAAGATAAATGTAACGATTTTTGCTTGCAAGCGTATGATGATCGTATTTGGCGCTTCCCTACTTACCACACTGATCTCTTTCGACCCAAAAGGTAGTTTTCGTAGATGATTCCAGCTATGGTCCTTCCTTTCCCTCCTCCTGCACCATCCCCTATCAAGAAGCCAGCCCTGTCTCCATTGGGTAGGAATGTTTCATGTTGCTGTAAAAGAAAATTACGTAGTACTGGGCAACTTCAGCATAGAATACATCACCCAACACCCCCACACTCTCTAATTTACCTGAAAACATCCTAAGAGGTTTAGTTACTGACATTTCAATAAGGCATTGAAGTAAACCTTGAATGGCGACATACCTGGGCTGCATAGGTGATCGCTTCCAGCTGCAATGCCGACAGCCAGCCACTATCAATACTTTCTTCGGGGATTGAGGATTTGTACCAAACTTCTGGAGGGGTAACACTGGAGAGTGAGCTGGTTTCTACCACTGGATCCGGATGGCGTAGACCAATTTTTACTGGTTAGGAGAGAGATGAGGGTTAGTGCCATCAATATTCCGCACAATGTCCCCCACGGCAAGTCTTTGCTCTCAAGAGAACTATAATTAGACAGTTCCAGCTTCCTACTTGATTACCGTCTGTTATGAAAAGCCATTAAAAGAACCATAACATTCCAAACATGCGGGCCTCACTTCCGACAGAAACATAAGAATGGCCAAGTTGATCAGCTTCTGCAGGAGTTAAAAATTCTAAGAACCACATCAATTCCAGCACCAATTTCCGAGCTGACAGAAACGTTTAGGTCACAGCAAAAACCAATTGGGACCCACACTGGTAGTGTGGAATAGGCACATCCACCCACCACCCTCCATCTCCACTTATGAAGGATATAGAGAATTCTTGTTTTACCAACGTCATGATTTATGGCTTGGGCCCACTGAAATGAATCCACATATACCAAAGTCGTGCCCATGGAGCATCATGACTTCCTCCCTCTCCCCTTGTAGCCTCCAACGCCCCCTTCCCAGTGCTGCACAGCATTTTGGGAAACAGCAGGAGGGAGAGGCAAGAAAAGTCATGCTGGGGGGGGAGACGAGGGGGATCCTTCTGTTTGTAGAAACACTCCAGTGGATCCAAGCCTGTACCTGTGTAATAATTACAAGGTTTTGTTTTCTTTAAAAGAAGAAACACATACATTTTATTGGCATGTACTCTGCATACGTCTCTGCATGGCCCATCTCTTCTTCATCTTCCTCTTCTGGTTCATCCTCTTCTTTTGCTACTGGCACTTTCTGCAGCACATATCAGTATTTGTTAAATCATATATATTGATTTAGTGCAGGAGTTTATCATGCTAAATACCAGTTATTATTAAGTACTGCATCTTGCATGAGCCAAAATAACAACGAAAGAACTTCTTTTAAACATTCTCCATTCCACTGCATATGCCATTCTCTTAAGACACTCCTTCACAAGGTCACTGACTAGGTGGATGCATCTTCTGTTAGAGAGGCACTAACGTGCGCAGAAAAGGTCATGCACATCCCAGTTACTATGGTTAAACATTAAGCGCTCATAAAAACGAACACCTGAAAAGACCTCAATTTGTACTGGAAGATCAGGAAACAAAAGTGCGCATACACCATTTCAGCACTAACTGGCATTCCGTCACAGAGCAGCAGAAAGATGCACCTACCATTGTAGGAGAAAAACTTCTCATTTTTAGATCATTTATCCATATTCTTGCCACTTCTTTAGTTGGGGCCTCCTTTTTCACAGCTCCATTGCTGAGATCAGCTGCAAGAAGGATTCCGGGTTAAGACATTTGCCGATCAAAACTTCCCGAGTTTACAGTTCAACCTTCTCTCCTCTAGCCCAGGAGGACTCACCGCTCTTACAAAAGTATACCAAAGCTCCGTCACGGCCAAAATAAATGAGTTGCTAGCCAGTACACCAAGGTGGACTACCCTTCACCAGAGTTACATACAGATCACCTTTGAGTTCATTATACACGGGTTAAGAACAGGAAGCCATAAGCCCAGTTTTAGCAGCAGAGGTTAGCTTACCTGGTTTGGTGGTGTTTACCACCTTTGGAGACACTACAATTATTTCTGTAAGAAAGTCAACATTTGGGGTCTCAATTGTTTTAAAAGTCTGCAGATGAAAACAGTATGTACTGCTCTCTCCCTCCCCCAGCCTCACAATGACAGTACTGAAGATTAATGACGAGCTTGCTACCTGAATGCCTACGGCTTGTACGCCAAGGTACACGGGAATTAAATAAATGCCTTAAACACCTGTCAAATCCATGATTCTTGGGCTACCACCTATGGACTGGGCCTCAAAGTTAAAATACTGCGTACAGTATGAATGTACTAAGTCTGCCAGGGCTGATTAAAGTAAACCATTTTAATTAGCAGATCACTTGCATAGTGTTATAAGTCAGAGCAGCTGCCTTGACGCCATAGACCCTGCCCTTCACTGCCTAAGAAAAACAATAGCTAATGGGTATTTATAACACTAACAAAATGAAAAGTAAAAAACATCCTAGACAATTTATTTGGGAAAACATTTAAAATTACGGATTTCACGATAGCAGATGGCTATTAACGTTCACATATAACAATTTCCCCCGCACACGCTAAACTCTGCAATTGACTGCAACCTATCAAATTGGTGTTGATAACACTATTCTCAAGGTTCATGCGCTCTGCAAATTTAAATGGCCGGCCGGCCCCCCACCATCTAGCATAAACACATTGGATACATAATTTATGCAGATGCTATTCTGTATAACCTTTCACCCCACCCCAAGAAACTGAACAGCCCCTCCCTACCAGACTCCCCGGGCTCTTACTTGCAGCTGTTGCCACCGGCTGAGCAATGTTAGGTGGTGGCTTCAGCTTCATCAGTTCGTTAAGACTATTATTTTTAAGCAGGTCTTTCAGTTGGATCTGGTCCTTGGAGGCTGCAGCCGTCAGGGCGTTCCGTACTGCTGGCGCCGCGACTGAGGGGCGGGTAGTGGTGCCGGTTTGTATAATTTTCGCTACGGTGATCGTCTGCCGGTTAGTGGTGACGGGTGTGGTTTTTGTCATTACTATGGTCGTCCCCAAAGTTGGGAGCTGGTTTATCTGATTCAACACAAAGGTTGTGGTCGATGGCGGTTGCTGTACCAACAGAAAAAACAGTGTTTGTTGTTTTCAAGAGAACAGCGCATACAGAACACATTTTTAAGTATACAAGAGTTACTTCTGAACATTTAGAGATTTATGATTACAGTATTTTCAAATTTAACTCTGGTCAATTTTTTTTTAATTGACATTTTTAATCAGTAAAATACAGAACAAACAGTTTTAACATTTTCAAGTACAAACGGTGTGAGCTAAATAGTAAAATACTACAAAGTGTTTGTAATATACTTAATAAAATATAACAACAAAATCAGAATTGTATACCAGTATTATGTCATAAAACAAGTAACCAGTTGACTTACAAAACGAAAGTAAGTTTGGATCATAACCATTGAACATAATTTGTCCAGGCTGGTGATATAAACTCTTCTGCTGACAGAAATTCTATTACTGGGAACCATTTCGCATTAAAATATGATACCAAGGGGGTTCTAGTGTTGCTGTTGTGTTTGTCAGTGATGTTCTCCATGATAAATTGATCCCAGAGCTTCCGAAACCAAACTTGAATAGTGGGTGGGGCGGGATCTTTCCAATATGAGGCTATCGAAAGTCTCACCGTGTATAGCATCGTTTCTAACGTATCTTTGTGGTGATGGTGAGCTATATGTTGAGGCCATAGCCCTAAAAACCTCAATATCCAGAATACGTTTGATGTATTTCAAAATCACTTCCCAGAACTCCTTTATTGCCCCACAGTGCCACCAACAGTGGGCAAAATTTCCGTCCTGGTCACAACCTTTCCAGCATTTTGGTGAATATTTGGAGGACATATGGGATAGCCTTTTAGGAGTTAAGTACCGGCGCGACAGGATATTAAATTTGTGAAGTTCCATCGGTAAAGAACGACTGTGGTCAATTTTACAGAGCTAAATAAACTCTTAGGGAGCCTTCCTTCAGAGCTTCCTCATTCAAGTTGTTAATTCATTATCAAGATCTCCCTAAGTAGGGTTTTTTGGGGTGGAAAAGGAGATCGCTGTGAAAAAATTAGCTACTGCGAAGAAGCACGCAGCTGTACAAAATGCAGAGGTAATGCACTTGACGACTGTGCACAATTGCATGCATGGAGCCATTTGGTTTTGGGGGGACTTGATACGGCCTTGAAAGTTTTATGTACTTTCTACAAGAATCTGCCACGTACATCCTTCTCTCCTACATAATCCTGGCATTTTTATTTTGAGCTATCATTTTCAACTACCTAATGAACGTTATTGGGACTAAAGACAAGCAAAGGAGTCTTGCAGCACTTCAAAAAAAGAACTGCTTCCAGGGTCAGCTTACTTACCCTGATGTTCAACACCGTCGGAGAAGACGTGGTGTGTGGTTCTGCTTTAACAGCCACTGCTGCTTCGGTCTCCAAACCCAGTTCTAATGCATTAAGTGGTACTGACTAAACAAAGAGAATCAAAGTGACATGGGTTATGGCAGCTTGGAAAGGAGCTTCCATTAATACAACAGGCTTGTGTTTTAATATTAGATGTATCCCAGCCAAGATACTTTGTACATGGAACTTCTACCCAGAAAACATACCCAGAAGGCCCCATCCAGAGAGAGTCGTGCTTCAACGGGCTTCAAGTCAAATAAGTGAAAAACACAACTATAACTAACTCTGCGACCAGATGCAAATTATGGATGGTGGCAAATGAGTGTGTGCAGACTGCAAGCTGTCACTGTTAGCCAAAATCAACGACCACTAAAGTCACCAATTTGATATCACGGAGTTCTTACATTTTGCAGGGAACAGTAACAATAACAAAGGCAACATGGCAAAGAATTGCATTTTTACACCACAAAAGTTACCAGCGACTTCCAGTGGAGCTCCAGATCAGGTTCAAGGTTCTGGTGCGGGCCTTCAAGGCCCTTATAGCAGTCAGGGACCTACCATACCTTCAGACTCGCCCCCGGAAGAGCTTTGCACACAGGAAATAAGAACCTCCTGGTGGTCCCCGGACCGAGAGGTCCAGCTGCCCTCAACCAAGGTCGGGGCTCTTTCAGCCCTGGTCCCTGCCTGGTGGAACTCTCTGCCACAAGGCATCCGTGCCCTGCAGGAGTTATTACCCTTCCGCAGGGCGTGCCAGACAGAGATGTTCAGCGAGGCCTTCGGTGGAGGCAGCAACAAGGGCAAATATGACATCTGGCCCTCTCATCTCTTTCCCCATCGTTGTAACCTCTCCCCCCAGGGAGGCTGGGAGAGCTGAAATTCCTCCCCCGCCATCTAGTATATGTATAGTGTTTTTAATCTATTGATCGTTTTAGGTGGTTTTAATTTTGATTTTAACTTAAAGTTAAACTTAGAGAACCAGTTAGGTGTCGTGGTTAAGTGTGCATACTCTAATCTGGGAGACCCGGGTTTGATTCCCCACTCCTCCACTTGCACCTGGCTGGATGGCCTTGGGCAAGCCCTAGTTGTGATAAGAGCTGTCCTAGAAAAAGAGCAGTTTCTGTCAGAGCTCTCTCAGCCCCACCTACCTCACAGGGTGTCTGTTGTGGGGAGGGGAAGGGAAAGGAAGTTTGTAAGCTGCTCTGAGACACCTTTGGGTAGTGAAGGCGGGCTATAAATCCAATCTCTTCTTCTTAAACAATTTTTGTGTATTACTCTGTTGTAAGCCGCCCTGAGCCCTACTTGTAGGGAAGCTAGACCTAGTAAATCTAATTTAATTAATAAATAATACAATCCATCAATCTTGCTTTAAAGTTAACAGAAACACATAGCCAAAAAAGGAGGGCAGCCCTAGTTGTGATAAGAGCTGTCCTAGAAAAAGAGCAGTTTCTGTCAGAGCTCTCTCAGCCCCACCTACCTCACAGGGTGTCTGTTGTGGGGAGGGGAAGGGAAAGGAAGTTTGTAAGCTGCTCTGAGACACCTTTGGGTAGTGAAGGCGGGCTATAAATCCAATCTCTTCTTCTTAAACAATTTTTGTGTATTACTCTGTTGTAAGCCGCCCTGAGCCCTACTTGTAGGGAAGCTAGACCTAGTAAATCTAATTTAATAAATAAAAAATACAATCCATCAATCTCGCTTTAAAGTTAACAGAAACACATAGCCAAAAAAGGAGGGCAGGGGCTATTAGCTAGAGCGTGCCAAGCCACCAGAACTGGATGCAAAAATGATGTGTCATATGTGAACAAATCACGATCAGCCATAGTAGCCAGCCATACAGCTTTGAGGAACCAGATAGTGCCCAGTGGCAGTATATATTTGCAATAATGAGTTATTAAAACACCCAACTTCCTTTGGCTCAACTGAGACCTGACATTACAAGATTAGCAAAAGTTATGATTTC